TTGGCTTCAAGTGTGAGCTCCCACTGGAAAATTATCCCTCGGCAACTGGCCAGGTGCATAATAGCCTTGTAATTACATGGGGTTGAATCTGGAAGTTTTTGACCAATTGTCACTGCTGCATTGGTGTTCCGAGTGAGGCCGAGGCCACGCAAGCCGGGTGCGCTCCTCCGTCGGACTTATGGTGCCTATGTCTGGGTCCTCCCCGCTGCTCCCTGGGTCAGGGGCCCCCTGCCCTCAGGGAGAGAGTCCATGTTCAGTCACTGCTTTCAATATAGTCTGGGCTGTCCCACCATCATCCTGCCTGGATGAGGGTATAAAAAAGAGAACAAGTGACATTACCACCAGTGACAAAAGAACAGGAAAGAATACAGGAAGTAGGGTGGCAGGGGGGACTGCTGGAATGGCAGGTGCAGTTCCAAACTTCTATCAATATTTTAATTACCAAGTCTATATTTAGCAAGACACCGTGGGAGAGTTAAAGAGGAAGGAAGGAGCAGGTGGAGAGAGGGCCTCAGAGGAGCTGACCCACTTTCCGGGCTGTGGCTGCAGCGCCCTGTAGTCCTGGCCGGGCCTTCCCGGCCTTGTGCCCTTCAGAAGCCCCAAGAGGCATCAGGGGCTTAAGCGGCTACATCTCTGAGGCAGCCGCAGACCCTATCAAAAAGACACATGTCATCAGTACGGTTCTTTAATCTTCCTCTGCTCCGAAGATGGGGGACAGGGGGCCAGCCGGCCAAGGGCTTCAGGTGGGGTCAGTGTGACTGCAGGGTCACCATGACTGCCTTGGCTGTGGCATTGAGCACGGTAGCAGGAAGCCTGGCAGCAGGAAGTGCGGCAGGGACGTCTCTGGGGACCCTCTGCATAGGCGGGATGTTGGGGCCCTCCAGCGTGTCCAGGATCCCTGAAAGGAGAAGGACGGAAGGTGAGAGCTGGCTGGACCCTGCCCTAGGCCACTGTTCCCTTCCCCCACACTGTGGCCTTCCCATCACTTACCCTCTACCACCTTGTGGTAGGCAAAATGCAGATAGAGCAGGAAGAGCATGTGTAGGGCGGCCAGGGTGCCACAGAGGAGCAGCCGCTGTGTGGGGCCCACAGTCCGTGACACCAACACTGCCACCTAGGGCCACAGGAATACGGCTCAGAGGGCCTAGCTCCAATGTGAGCAGTGTGGAGAAGACACCCCTACCCAGAGCAGAACCACTTCTAGGCTCTTCTCGGCCATCTGGAGCCCTCTGCGGGGTTCAGCCCGAGCTCTGGGCGGTTCTCCCGAACTCCCCGGGAGGTTAGCCCACCCCGGGCAGCCTCTCTTGCCCAGCTTACCATGCGTAGGGTAGACAGCCCACCCACCAGCAACCAGAAGAGGTAGAAGAGGGCATGGAGGTGGATGTTATAGGTGATGAACAGGACAATGCAGTGTCCAAAGAGGCCATAGCCCTAGGAAAGAGAGTGGTGGAGAGGAACATCACTCCGGCTGGGCTGGCGTCTGACCTCTCATGGAGAGACTCTGACAACTAAACAATCCACTGGCCAGCTCATCCCATTCCAGCTCCGGGGCCCTAGGACAGATGCAGAGCAAGGCCTGGCTCCTGTTTCTAAGACCACCCCTGCCCACCACCATGCTGGACTCCTTACCAGCAATGCCAGCATCTGGAGCATGGTGATCTGGGCGTTGCACAGGTAGGCGAGGAAGTAAATGAAAGACGAGACACCCAGCCAGTAGCCGAAGCAGGTGCCAATGGCTGTACCCATCAGGGTGCCCTCTCGCTGTGGGGTGAAGGCTCTGCTTAGTCCTGGGAGGCCTCTGGACTCGGCCTCACCTAGGGCTTTCCTCAGAGGCTCCTTCTACCTCACTCCACGATAGTCTCCTTGGGCAGCTTTCAACTCAGTTCAGCCCCCCCCCCCCACCAACAAAGTCCTTTGTCCTGCTTACAATAATGGTGTCAGATGTCTTCATCCCATGGAGGAGGATGGCAACCAGCGTGAAGACCAGCATGAGAGGCCCGTAGAGTTCACCTGCGATTTTCTGTTAATATACCAACTCATTCAGGCTGGAGGGTACAATGGCTCTTCTGTTTATGTCTTCCTTGGCTTCGCCTGGTGGCCCCACCCTCTGCCCTCCGGCCTCCCCCAGCTCTTCCAGACATGCTACCTTGGGTATTCACCTGGGGGAAGTTGACCATCTTGACAGGGATCATGGACTCCAGGAGCCTGGGAGAAGAGAGGAGAGGAGAGATGAGCAGCACTAGGCTATGAAGTTCAGGAGGACCTGAATCTTGCTGTATCTCTAACTCCAGAGAACATGCTAGGTAGTAAAGGGAGAAGAGAACAGTAAAGACACACAAGGAATGAGGAAATCACTTCCTTGTCCCTAAAAATGCTTCCGGGAAGGACAACCTTCTGATGCTGTGCTAACATGCAGCCGCAACATGGAGAACTCAGAGAGCTCACCTGGGCCTTGTGAGAGGGCGTGGCCATTTACCTATTTGAGCTGCTTCCCTTTAAAGACAGGCATACCTCAGCAGAGAATGCCCAGAATTGAGGGCTGTGATGGTGAAGCCCTGGGAGAGGTTTAGAAGGAAAGGTTTTACTGGAGGGGCCCCGGTGTGTCTCCTGTGTCTTCCTGCTTACCAATTTCTCCAGGCACCACTGAAACAGCTTCTTGAAAAACAACATTTGAAGTGGTATGAAAATTCCACACAGAAGGAAGAGAAGCATAAGTCACTTCTGCCCACTTCTTAAGTGACTGACTCTTAATAATACCTTAGATTTTGGCTAGATTTTATTTCCTTTGGGAAACCTACCCGGTCTGCCTCTCTAGCCTCCTCTGGGTCACGTGTCCCTTCTGTGTGTTCCGTCACAGCAAAGCAGTGCTCTATTGTAACTGCGCTCGGAGGCAAGGCTCCCATCTATCTTCACCTTCTGTCTTCAACGAGACCTAAGTATTACAGTGCCCAGCACGGAGCAAATGCTTAATAAATAGCTGCTAAGTGGTGCTGGGTATTTGATAAATATTGTTTAAATTAAAGGACGAGCCAAAGAACCAAACCAAAATTAGATGCACTCCTTGAAGAGTCATTCAACAACTATGCACTGATACTGCGGTTCAGAGACTGTTCTGGTGCTGGGAATAAAAAAAAATAATAAAACAGAGCTTGTTTCTGAGGTTTCTGGGGAGACTGACCCAGGAATGAGCATTGCCCCAGTGTCACCTGTTAGAGGAAAGCACAGAGTTCTCTAGGAACACCAGGAGGGGACAAACTGGGGATGGGGCTGAGGAATGGGGAACAGAGGTGACATCTGAGCTAGGCGTTGACGGAAGAAGAGTAGTTTGCTACACGAGGAAGAGGAGGAAGGCAATGTGTTATCACCATGTCCTGTTCTGTGACTGCTTAGAGAGACGGTGTAGCTGGGGTACAGGTGCAATGATGAGGGCTGCTGGGGCCGTGAAGACGGGAGCCTCAGGGCTTGGCATCTGGTTGTGGTTTGGAGGAAGGACTAGGTGTTAGGAAGCCAGCTTCTATCAGGAGAAGGATCCTCACCTGCTTCGCACCTGGGCAGGCTCCACATCAAAGTAGGGTCTCAGGATGTCGATGTTGGCGTACAGGCTGAAGGCCCTGGAGGCTTGTCTCTTCCCTGCCTGCCACATCTGAAGTAAGGAAGACAGAAGCGAGGTGAGTTGGGATTGTGAGGCTCTAGACTACAGTCCCTGTTGCTTATTTTCTATTGGATTTCTATATGGTTCTACTGGGTTAGCGTGGGGGAGCTTCAACACCAACTCTGGAACTTGGGGCCTGCCTACACGTATTCTTCCACCTGCCAGGGATCCGATCGTGCTTACCTGATCGGCCACCTGCCGGCTCAGCTGTCCCTTGAAGCCCTTCATGCCCAAGAACTCCCCATCCTCCTCTTCGGCAGCAGCTGCATCGGCATCTACTTCTTCCTCACGCAGACGCTGATGCAGCTCACCCATATCCTCGAAGCTGGAGCCTGATGTATCATCCATGTTCTCCATGTCAATCACAGCTGAGCCTCCGCCCTGTGAAGACAATGGTTTCTAGAGTGCAAGACCTTTCTGCTCCATCCGTCGGCCCTCCTTCTATTCGTTCCAGGCTTTGGGACTTCGTTCTTCCATTGCTGGGGATATGGTTTCGAATCGCCATAGATCACGCCGCTCTCCTTCCCTCATGTGCTCTCAGAAGCCTTGTTGTCTGGTTCTCTTTTCTAACCTGGGAAACCCATTCCCTGCCTTGCATATATGTCTTTCTTCTTCCCAGTTAAATTCTCAGAGGGCTGCAAAAGTACCCATTTCCTTTGTCTTTTCCAACCCCCAAACAAGGCTGTGCACACAGCATGGCTTTAGCCAGTGCCAGTGGCTACCGCCCGCTCCCCCGCCATGCCTGACCTCGATCGGCCAACACAAACTTGTCTCGAAAGCAAGAGTAGAGGGGCCCAGAGACCTGAGACCCTCTGCATGGAGTACTAGCCTGGACCTTTCAGCTCGGCACTAGTCCCAGAGGCTTCGTGTATACCAAGATCCAAAGGAGAGAACAAGTGTTGCAAATGGAACGGACTTCCAAGCTCCGAGGGACAGTCCCCACGACACCTCGGGGCGGCTGCCAGCCCTGGGGCTGGTAGCAGCCGCAGTCTTGAGGCGATTACCTGGATGTTTTCTTCGAACCCTCCCCATTCCGGACCAGCCCCGCTTCGGGCGCCGCCGGCCGGCGCCGCTGTAGTTGCCATGTCCCTCGAGGGCTCCCGTCGCTGAAGCCCGCGCTAGTCCCGCGCGCGGAGGAGGAGTGGGAGAGACGTGGGCCTGAGGGAGGGAGATGTCCAGGACCGAGAAAGAGAGGTGGGTTCGGCCGGAACGCAAAAAGGAGAAACCCGGATGTTTGGCCAAAACTTCCGGAAGCTGGGGACGTGGACGGAGGCTGGGCAGAGTCTCGCGATACTTAAGATTCCTGGAGGTGGTGCGTTGCCACGGAGACGGAGGAGGGCTGCTGGGACGCACGCGCCAGTTTGCGGCCCTAGTCACGTGGAGGGGTTGAAGATGGCGGCTGCCCAGGCAGTGGAGGAAATGCGGACCCGCGTGGTTCTGGGGGAGTTCGGAGTTCGCAATGTAAGCCTGTGGCCTTGAGCTCGGGAAGAAAAAATGAGACTGGAATAGGGTCGGAGGTGGACGGGCTTGCCCTCCCTGCCCTTTCGCAGACTCCCCTCTCTTTGTTGTAGGTTCATACCACCGACTTTCCTGGTAACTATTCGGGCTATGATGATGCCTGGGACCAAGACCGCTTCGAGAAGGTAGGTGAAGTTGGAGAGGGTGTTAGGAACCGACCGTGTGATCTTGGCAGTCTCGGCCTCAGAAGCAGCCCTGGGGGTATGCTCCGTTCCCAGAACGTTTATTGACCAATGTGCTAGGCGCTTCGTGTACACGATTTCTGCCCTGTTCGAAGAAAAAGATGTTTAGTCTTGTTGGAGAAGAACGTGCGTAAATGATAACAGTATTATGTAGTAAAGGCGATAAGGACAACCGGGGATGGGTTCATCCCGCAAAGGCACTTAATCTAGAATGGGAATGGGGGGAGGGTAGCGGCGTGGAAGATTCACTTCGTGAAGGAGTTGACATCTGAATTGAGCCCAGATGAGTAGAATCTGAGAACAAGGAAGGGTGAGGGGGCACTAAGACTAGAAGTTAAATTATAAAGGTTTTGTGAACTGTGCTCCAGGAATGTCCAAGCAGTTTATTATTGCTAGAATGTAAAATGGGGTGGCATGAGTGGTAGGCAAGATTGAAGTGCATCTTAGACACTGTTAGGTGATAGGGAGTTTTTGAAGAGCTCTGAAGTGGACGTGATCTGATTTGCAGCCTTAATAATTGGGACAGAATGAATTAAAGATCATATAGGGCAGTCAGATTTGTGACAATTGCATAGAGGAACTGAGTTTGAAGGCATGAACTAGGATTATAATCAGGAGAATAGAGCGAAAGGGAGCTAGAACGTAAATCTGGTAATTGCTTTGGTGTGGGCTTTGAGGAGGGAATGTAAAATGACCTAGCTTGAGGAACTGCTTTGGTGGATGGTGGTGTCATTGACTGATGAGAAATAGATCTAGATAAGGGAATGCTGCTGCTGCATGGTTTCTTGTATGTGAGAAGTCGAGCAGGCTAGTAACACATGTGTTTGAAATGAGATCAGAAGTGAGATGTATAATTTGGGAGTTTTTAGCATGTGTAGTTGCTAAAACCATGAGTGTGGTTGAGGTCCCCTTGGAGAGAGACAAAAACCTGAAATAGTGACATTGATGGAGTGGGTAGAAGATAGGGAATCTAGAAGGATTCATCAGAGAGGGAGGAAGAGAAGATTGGTACTCACAGGTCAAGGCAGAGTTTGAAATTGAAGGGATTCTATCAGTGCTGAATGTAGCAGACAAGTCTAGTAAGATAGAGTAATTTCAACTCAAATTAAGCAGTATGGAAGCCTGTTCTCTCGTAGAATAGTTTCTGTGGATAGTTGAGTTGGAAGCCATATTACAGAGAATTTTATAGAGGATAAAAACAGGAAAACTTTCCAAGAACCTACTAAGCAATTGGGGGAGAAAGGAACATCTGTGAGGGACACCTGCTCAAAGGGAGGTTCTTGAATGAGTGCGAATGTTAATGCACTGGGGGAAATATCTAGGGGAAAGGTGTTGATTCTAGACAGTAGGCTTCATTTAGTGCTTTTTCTGTCCCTGCAGAATTTCCGTGTGGATGTAGTGCACTTGGATGAAAACTCATTGGAATTTGACATGGTGGGAATCGATGCAGCCATTGCCAATGCTTTTCGACGCATTTTGTTAGCTGAGGTATTGATGGGGTTGGCGGCAGGGCAGAGTTGCATGGGAAACTGCCATCAGCATGCTGTAGAGTTGTCTCAAGTTGCCCCTTTCCTTTAGTTTTCTTGCAGTTTTGCTGAGCATTCTTCATAAACTTTTCATTAAGCAGTCTTCTAGGAAGAGGTCCCCCTGTCAGGAAGTGGGAGTAAATGGGGAGCCTGTAGGGTCTCTGTAGGAGAATGATTGTTTTCTTGGGCAGGTGCCAACCATGGCTGTGGAAAAGGTCCTGGTGTATAATAACACGTCCATTGTGCAGGATGAGATCCTTGCTCATCGCCTGGGGCTCATTCCCATTCATGCTGATCCCCGTCTTTTTGAATATCGGAACCAAGGTGAGAGAGAAAATGAAATTTTGGGAATATGGGAGCAGCTCTCTTCTGAAGTAGATTTTAGAGTCATAGTGCCTGTGTTCAAATCCTCGATTGATTACTGTATGACCTTGCACACGTTACTGACCATTTGGTACATCAGTTCTTATCTGTGTGAACACTTGCCCTCGCCTCCTGTAATTTGTCCAGAAGATTAGATGACAAATTTAAATTAATGCACTCAGCACAGTGCCTAGCCACCCAGATATTTAGTAGTTCTTTTAAGAGCTGCTACTTTCTCCTTTGTGCAGGAGATGAAGAAGGTACAGAGATAGATACTCTACAGTTTCGGCTTCAGGTCAGGTGCACTCGGAACCCCCATGCTGCTAAAGATTCCTCTGACCCCAATGAACTCTACGTGAACCACAAAGGTGAGTGTGGTAGGGTGAATGAGAAGGCCCACCTCGCGGTGGGTGCTGGTTTTAAGGACTAAGGCTTTTCTGATGTGCTCTTTTTCTCTAGTGTACACCAAGCACATGACATGGGTGCCCCTGGGGAATCAGGCTGACCTCTTCCCAGAGGGCACGATCAGACCAGTGCATGATGATATTCTCATTGCTCAGCTGCGGCCTGGCCAGGAGATTGACCTACTCATGCACTGTGTCAAGGGCATTGGTAAGAACCTCATCGGCTGTCTTGGGCAGAGTAATTTGATCATAGTGGAGCAAGGTGTGACAAAAGGGCTCAGCCGAGATGTCCTGACAGGCAACAAGCAGGTGGGCCTCTGCTGTTAGGGGTTCATGTAATGTGAAGGTTTCCCCCCAGGCTGTTTTCTCTTTTCACTCCAGGCAAAGATCATGCCAAGTTTTCACCTGTGGCAACAGCCAGTTACAGGCTTTTGCCAGACATCACGCTGCTTGAGCCTGTGGAAGGGGAGGCAGCAGAGGAGCTGAGGCGGTGCTTTTCACCTGGTGTTATTGAGGTCCAGGAAGTCCAAGGTAGGACATTTGGGGTACCAGGGGTTCAGGTCAGGACCTGTAATCTATTTTCTGTGAAGGTAGCATAAATGAAAGCTCTGGGCCCGTGTATTTAGAACACGGTTTGTTGTCACTAGGTAAAAAGGTAGCCAGAGTCGCCAATCCCCGGCTAGATACCTTCAGCAGGGAAGTGTTCCGGAACGAGAAGCTGAAGAAGGTTGTACGACTTGCTCGGGTCCGGGACCACTATATCTGTGAGTGTCCGGTCAGGGGCAGTGGGTGAGGGGGGGCAGGCCTCTGGCGCTGCAGCTTCCTTGCCTAGTCCAGGTGTAGACTCCGCGTAGCTTGATGCAGGGGCGCAGGAGCTGTTGCGAGCCCTGCCTGAGCTGAAGTGTCTCTCTGGTTCCCAGTCTCTGTTGAGTCGACAGGGGTGTTGCCACCGGACGTGCTAGTGAGTGAAGCCATCAAGGTACTTATGGGGAAGTGCCAGCGGTTCTTGGATGAACTAGACGCGGTTCAGATGGACTGACATTTGCACTGGACTGTCCAGCATGGCTGGACTGGGAGACTCCAGTATCCTAGCTGAAGATTTTGGGTCCTGACTTGCTCTCACAGGGCCGCTGAGGCCAGTGTGACTGGAGGTCCTGGGTTTTCTGGGACAATTCCAGACTTATTTTCAGCCAATACATTTTGTTAAATGTGCCACAAAATGGGACTTCCTGCCTTTGTAAGGCCTTAATGTAAATAAACTTACATCCAAATACATCTTTTTGTCAGAGACTATTACTTGAGTTTTAGCCCCAAATATGGGGCCTCACACCTCAGAAGGGTTTGGCATTATGTGGCACTTAGGAACACTGGGTTTAGGTGTTACTGCACAGCAGGCCCAAGTTCCTCTGAAGCCTCATCAGAGATGCCAGGGGTATCTGGGGGGGGCTCAGTTGAGTGTCTGAATCTTGGTTTTGGTTCAAGTCATGATTCCAGGGTTGTGGGATCAAGCCCTGTGTTGAGCTCTGTGCTGAGGGTGGAGCCAGCTTAAGATTCTTTCTCCCTCTGCCCTCCTAACCTGCTCACACGCTCAGGTTAAAAAAAAAAAAAAAAAAAAAACTAAATTGAAGTGGTTTCTGGGGGCTCAACCAGACCATAGAGAAATATTATGTGCCACTTGATCTATTTCTTGTATTACTAGAAGCTTCTGGGGAAAAAGAGTGGTGCACAGCTGTCAAGTTCCATGGCTGTCAAATGTCACATGATGGGTGGGGGAGTACCTGGCTGGCTTGGTTGGTAGAGCATGCCGCTCCTGATCTCAGGATTGTAAGTCCAAGCCCCACGTTGGGTGCAGAGGTTACTTAAAAATAAAAGTTTCTGAGACAAAGTCCCACAAGGAGCAGCAGCAGTTCTCTTTGGACGGTCCCTTGGAGCCTTGGTCTAGTGGCCACTCTCTAGTGGGAGAGTGGTATGGGCTGCCTGGTCTCGGTCTGTCAGGAACCGGAGTCTTTTACTGGCTGGCATACTGTTTGGGAAAGCTGGACAGAGCAGGTTCATGGTCACAGTTCTTCCTGTCCAGTCCCTTTAGCAGGATGTTCAGAAGCAGTGACCCTACAGTACGTCACTGGTTTGAAAAAGGCAGATGGGAACCTTTCTGTATGAAACCGAGATTTTTACTGACATGCAGATGTGCTTTAGAGTTAATGTTTCTACAAAAAGGCTCTATAAACAATAGAAAACTTCTAGCATGAAGTCACAGGATGTTAAAAATATTACAGCACAATAAATACAACTATGCCCTCCACAGCCCCCACCACAGAGAGGAGTAGGCAGCCATCAAGTTTGGAGGGAAACATGCTTTGAGATGGCCTTCATAGTCAACAGGAAGCAGCCCAAAGCACCACCCGGGAAGAGGGCGGAGCAGATCCGTGCCATAGAAACAGCTACATAGGACTTCCAAGTCCTGTCTTCCCAGGTTCGCCTCTTTTCCGACCCTGCCCAGGGACCACCAGCTCACAGCTGGAGCTTGAGCCCAGGACCAGAACTCTGTCAGTGGACTGGATTGAGGACAGGCCTCTTTGTACAGAACACAGACACACTCTATATGGTTTCTGGAGAGATTAAGCCTGTATATGGCCAGTGGTAACCGCGAGGCTAGGGTCTTGCATTCACCTCCCCTCTGCTTACAGAGCCATCTAGTGTCCTTTAGAACAGAGTGGAGCCTAACAATACAGTTTGTGACAGGAAGGCATATTTTTCTTCTGGAAATGGTCCATGAGAGAAGTGACCAGGGACCCAAAAGACCAGATTTTTGAAGGCACCTGGACTCAACTAGTCCTAGGAGAGAAGACCAGTGGCTTTGCCAGCTGCTTGTCACAGACATAGCCTAGCTGGTGTGCATTATCCTCAGATGCCAAGGGCATCACATGACACTAGATAGGGTACTGTGGCTCTTGTGCCTGAGTGGACCCTGGGGCTGGGGAAACCACACTGAGGGATTGTGCATGGAATATGTATGAGCTCTAAGGGGATGCCAGAAAGTACGCCAGACAGTGGCCCAGCCCTGGTCCCTGATGGTACTACACTTGACACTGCATTCAGAGCCTAGCAGTAGTCTGTACCATGGATCCCATCAGGTGACCAGATTCTTGCTCAAAACAGAAAGGAAACTGGCCAGATTCAGTTCAGCACTCGGCACCTGACCCGGACGTGCCCCTGGGGGTGGGGAAGGTTCTCTGCAGCCCAGCAGCGAGGGGGCTCAGTGGGACTTGCAGTGGCCCGGGAGAAGCTCTGGCGTAAGCAGGCGGGACCGAGCCCTTGTGCAAGCCCAGCTAGTCGTGGGGTTGGGTGTAGTACCCCTAGTTACCACTCTACACAGATGTATGGCTACATGGGGGTGGGAGGGCGTGGGGAGTAGGGCCAGTCTGCTCTAGTTTTTCTTTCTTAGAAAAGGTGAAACTCCAAACAGAATGGGAGATCTAGACAGAATGGTGTGAGCATGAACTCCCTTTCTTGATACCTTAGGTATCATTACTTGTGCCTTGCACAGAGCCCACTCTCTCCAGCTCCAGCCCTGGATTTCTTTCCAGGCTGACAATGGTGGAAAGTGAAGTGGCAGTGGAGAGGGGCCTAGAGATTAGCTACGAAGGGTAAGAAGAGATGACAATAAAGGCCGAGGAAGAATGCCCAAAAGTTTGATTCAGGGTTCAAAGATGGTGGCCAGGCCACCCTCCTCGTTGTCCAGCACCTCCGTCTCCAGCATTGGCTTTGTCTTTTTGAAAAGTGAGGGAAGATTCTTAATGTGAACTTCTTTTCGGAACTGTTCTCCTAAGGGTTTCTGTGGAAGACAAACGAGAAGAGTTGATGCTGGGCCCTGAAGTAGTGGGTGGTTTTCAAGCTGACTGGGAGCACCGGGGAAGGTGCACGACTTACCCCGATGCAGCCAGCAATGAGGCGTTTGAATTGGTCCTTCCGGCGCTTGTCAGCCACTTTCTGCAGAGAGGGGTTCAACAGCTTGCAGTCAAACTGGTCCAGAGAGTCCTTCTGTATGTCAGGGATCTGCTCCATCACAGCTCTTATCTCCAGGTACCTGGGACGCTGTGGAGTGGGGATATAAAACCACTCAATGGTGGAGGTCGGGCCTTGCCACCTTTCCTATGGCCCTCCACACCCACCTCTTAGGGCAGCACTGGCAACCTGGCAGCTGTCTCCTTTTATGAAGGCCCAGCTGCCTGGGAGCCAGCCCCTAGGGATGAAGCTGCAGCCAACTCTGCCTCTGTGCTTTCCGCACTCACCAGTGCCTCGTATATCTGGAAGGCCAGGTGGACCAGGGAAGCCATGCAGCCGTCGTGCTGCCCGTGCGTCTGTAAGCCCTTCAGCACGCTGGTGAAAAGCCATGTAACAGCATCTGCAAGCAGTGTCCCCGACAGCACCTGGGGACACAGCTGTGCTCAGGGCCAAAGGATTACCCTCTGAAAGCCCCAGCAACCCGATTCTTGCAACTGATTCAGTCAATCCTCATGACCCCAGTCTTTCATAAGGAGTGAGGACAAGGGGTGAGTAACCGTACTTGTTTGAGCAGAGGCCAGCAGAGCTGTGTGGTGGTCCTCTGGCAGGACAGAGTATCCTTCCAAGCAAGGGAATTGAAGGCTGTAATTAATAGCGCCGTACAAACATCCTAGTGGAAAAGGATGCAGGATTACAATGAGAAAATACACATAATCGTCTGAGTATTCTTATGCATAAGGAGCTGGAATTTTAATACGTAAGCAGAAACATGATAAAAATAGTAACTGAGAACAAGCTTATTTCCTCTCTGTATCAGGCAGTTAAAAAGAAAAAAACCCACTGATATAGAAGTGAAAACCAATGTGCAAGGTGCAAGGAGACCAAGCTCAGGCCTGGGGGAGGCTGAACACCACAATGTGCCCTGTGTTTTTCTGAAAGCCGCTGCCCACGCTAGCATGGGAAACACCTTGGCCTTTTCTATGGATTCCTGGGGGCTTTAGGAACCAGGAACTTAATAAAGCAGCATTTTCCCCCAAAATCCTTTGGTAGCATCATAGATTAAGAAAAGTAGAAACTGATGCCATATGAGGAAAAGGAGAAAAACATCACCTGTCACCTCCACCCACCTCATGCTTCATTAGACATTTGCCCAGGTCTGTAAGCTCCGCCATGGCTGAGGGGGCTACCTCTGTGGCCATCATTTCTTCATCTGTAAGCAGAGGGAAGAATATTAAGCTGCATCCTTTCAGAACAGAGAAGAGGATCCTGTTCTGATAGAAGCCCACCAAGTAAAGGAAAGCTGAGTAACCTGGGCTGACTGGTAGGTAAGTCAGTCCTGGACAGCCCCCCAACTGCAGGAAAGGTTGCAGAAGCCCCAGCTCATGGCAGATCTAGAGATGCATCTGGATGCAGTCAGTTAAAATATCTGACTTCAGCTCAGGTCATGACCTCATAGTTCATGAGTTCGAGCCCCATGTCAGGCTCTGTGCCGACAGCTCGGAGCCTGGAGCCTGCTTCAGATTCTGTGTTTCCCTCTCTCTGCCCCTCCCCTGCTTACACTCGGTCTCTCTCTTTAAAAAAAAAAAAAAAGGTGGGAAACTCTGGACAGTTACTTAAAAATGAGGACTCCGCTGTAGCAGGTACTTAGTTACTGGGGATATAAGAGGAATAGGACAAAGTCCCTTCCCTGGTAGGAATTTACATCCTAGTGAGACAGGTGACGAGAACAAATGAAATAAAACAAGGTCAGGCAGTGATTAAGTGCTATGAAGAAAAATAAACGAAGAATAAGAGTGGCTGGTTTTTTAAAAAAATGTTTTATTTATTTTTTGAGAGAGAGAGAGAGACAGAACGACTGGAGGAGGGGCAGAGAGAAAGAGGGACAGAGGATCTGAAGCAGGTTCTGCGTGGACAGGCTTACAGCAGTGAGCCCAATGTGGGGCTCGAACTCACAAATGTCAAGATCATGACTTGAGCTGAAGTTGGATGCTCAACCAACTGAGCCACCCAGGCGCCCCACTAGTTTTTATATGTTGGTCTGGAACACCTCTCAGAGGTGACAACTGAGCAGAGATCTGAATGAAGCAAGGGAACGGGCCATGTATACAGTTGGGAGAAAAGTTATTCCAGCAGAGGAAATATCAAGTGCAAAGGCTCTGATGTGGGAGTATGCTGGAGGAACACAGCAAGAGGACCGGCAGAGAGAAAAGCTAGATGTACATCTCACCTACCCCAAACTGCTAGTTCTACAGGAAATGACCTGGCTACAG